TTAAAGTGATTGACCTGAGGGTCATTGCATCATTGTAATGATTTTGAAAAAGAAAGATTATTCATTTTAAAGTGATTGACCTGAGGGTCATTGCATCATTGTAATGATTTTGAAAAAGAAAGATTATTCATTTTAAAGTGATTGACCTGAGGGTCATTGCATCATTGTAATGATTTTGAAAAAAGAAAGATTATTCATTTTAAAGTGATTGACCTGAGGGTCATTGCATCATTGTAATGATTTTTTTCAAAATGAAGTACCTAATGCAATTAATCATAACTTCAGTTTTATTTGTTTTAATATATATATATATATATTTATACATATACAGACTATAAAATCATATAAAGTTCCTGTCAAAATTTTCCATACAAGTAAAGAAATAAAAAGTATGCAAATGTGTGTGCTACTGTTCTTTAGATAAAATCTTTAACAATTTTAAGAATTGTTTTAGAAGTAAAACGATATCCTTTTGTAATCAGGCTTAATTGTATATATTATTCAAACTATTTTCACAAATTATGAGGTTGATGCAGGTAAGAATAATGAAGCAACCTGAAGACAAATTTATTGAAAAGAAACTGTAACTGTTAGATATAAGTTGATCTGTACCAAAATAATTGTTGGAAAAATATCACACTATTATGCATTACAGAGATGTTATATTGCCATATTGAGAGTTAAGGACATTGTTCACCAGTGAATATTTGTCCATCATACTGTGTTCATATATTTCAGAGTGAAGTCAACTGCCTCAGTTGACAAAATATGAAAATAAATATAAAAAAAGTTCAAAACTAATTGGATATTTATATGTTATAAAATGGAAATTTGTGATCAATAACTATGTCAGGTTTTGTTTTTATGGATTCTTATAAAGTAGGTGTCTGTAAATTGTTGGCGGTAAAGGTAAAAATGAAAGAACAGTACGCACTACACTTGTTGTAATATCAATATATATATTCTGAACTAAATACATTAGCATAGACATAAACCTTGCCTTGTCCGTAGCTTTGCTTTGATCTTCTCTCTTTCTGCTCCACTGGCCTACTTTATACTTTTTGTTCCATCATTGGTTCTCTACCACCCTACATTCTCAACAACAAGTCACAAAAGCAAAGTACAACATCATAAACTAAACAAAAATGAAATAATATTACAATGATCATAAAACACAAATCAATGACAGTCTTTTATACTATGACATATGTCCCTCTTCGGGATAAATATTTACAACATTTTCTTTTCCGTGATATACAAAGCTTCTTCATTCACATACACATTCTGTTCCAACATTTCCAGTGCCTTTGATAACTTATATGTGGAACCAGTAGTTCTGAAGATACAACGCCCACCTCATTATCCTCACACTGTCAATCTTGCACTTCTAAATGTATGTGAGTGGTTGATGGTCTGTCTGAATGATGAACTCCTTCCCATATAGATAGTTCTGGAACTTCCGAATGGCAAATATGATGGCTAGACACTCTCTTTCAATCACAGAGTAATTGTTTTCACTATTTGACAGGAGCCCGGCATGGCCAGGTGGATAAGGCGCTCGACTCGCAATCTGAGGGTCGCGGGTACGAATCCCCGTCCCACCAAACATGCTCGCCCTTTCAGCCGTGGGGGCGTTATAATGTGACGGCCAATCCCACTATTCGTTAGTAAACGAGTAGCCCAAGAGTTGGCGGTGGGTGGTGATGACTAGTTGCCTTCCCTCTAGTCTTACACTGCTAAATTAGGGACGGCTAGCGCAGATAGCCCTCGTGTAGCTTTGCGCGAAATTAAAAACAAACAAACTATTTGACAGCTTTTTACTTAAGTATGCTACTGGAAACAAGCCCTCTTTATGTTCTTGTAAAAGTACTGCCCCAGTTCCAATGTCCGAAGCATCAGCCTGGACAATGAAAGGTTCTTTAATTGGATAGGCAGTAAACCTTTCTTGGTCAGGTCAGTCAATGGTGCAGTAACTTCAGCATAATTTGGGATGAATATCCTATGGTATCCCGCTAACCCCAGGAAGGATCCAACTTGCTGCATAGTCGTTTGAGCTGGTGTATCTTGTATGCAGATTACCTTTTCCATGGCTATATGTCGGTTCCCAAATGTATCTCCAACAAACTCTAGCTCGGCACATCCAATGATGAAGCCTGCTGCTCTCACTCACTGTTTAAGTCTCTTCAGGTGGTCTTCCCATCTTGCAGTGTATGTCAAAACATCATCCTCATAGTGCTTAATGTTGGTGGTGTTGCACAGCATCCCTCTCATCATGCTGTTGAATGTTGCTGCTGAGTTCACTAATCCAAGTGGTATTTGCTTAAATTGATAACATTCATCTTTACTGAGGTCTATTTTTGAAAAGATCCTGGCTCCATCTAGTTTTGCCATAATGACCTCTGGATTGCCCATAGGTTCTGAGTCAAACTTTGTCATGAGATTCAGCTTCCGGAAGTCTATGCAGAAATGGTTTGATCCGTCCTTCTTTTTCACGATTACAACTGGTGAACAGTAGGCTGAATTGGACAGCTCGATGATTCCATTTTCCAACATTGCCTCCACTTCCTGCTTTATCAGGTCTCTCATCACATAAGGCATCTGATATGGCATCTCTCTGACTAGATCCTTGATTGTGGTCTCGACCTTGTGTTGTACAAGGTCTGTCTTTCCAGGTTTATCCACAAAGATATCTGCATATAGGCACAGTAGGTCTTGTAATACTTTTTTTGTTTACCCTTCAGTTCTTCGCTGATGTTGACGTTTTGTATGTCTCATCTTCACTTAGTGGTCTTAGGTTTAGTAGGTCCTCATCTTCTAAGAAAAAGTCATTCTCTTCTGGCTCTACATCTATAACTGCTACACCTGCAACATCCATCTACACCTATTAGATCTTCTTCTCTCCCGAAATACTTCATCAACAAATTGGCATGGTAGATTCGCATCTTTCCATTGACATTCACCTTGTAGTCCATTCTGTTGGCATGGTAGATCCCGGTCTTTCCATTCACAAACACCTTGTAGTCCATTCTGTTGGCATGGTAGATCCTGGTCTTTCCATTCACAAACACCTTGTAGTCCATTCTGTTGAATACTTCCTGTATTTCATAAGGTCCTTTCCATTGCAGAGTGAGTTTGTTGTGATCTGTGGGCAGCAAAACTAAGACCTGTTGTCTAACCTTGAAAAGTTGATCCTTGGCTTTCTTGTCATAGAAATGTTTCTGACTGCCTTGAGCTACATACAAACTCTGTTGAGCAAGTTGACAGGTCTCTTTCAGTCGGTTTCTGAGTTCTAAGACGTACTGATATGTGTTCCTTATTTTTGACTCTTCTTCTCCAGTCCATAGCTCTTTCATTATTTGCATCGGACCTCGTACTGTTCTTCCACACAGTAAAAGGTGAAAATCCTGTACTTGCCTGTGGGACTTCTGGATAAGCGAATAATACTGCCTGCAGGTACCTATCCCAGTCACGTGGTTTCTCTTAGCACATCTTCCTTAGCATGCTCATTAAAACTCCATTTACTTTCTCACAATGTCCATTTCATTTAGAATTGTATGGGGTTGTAAAG